GGGGCAGGGGCTTTAGCTCAGTGGTGTCAATGCCTGCCTCACAAGCACAAGTTCCTGAGGTTTTTTTTTATTTTTTTAATGTCTTGTTTTGTTTTGTTTTTTTAGACAGGGTCTCACTATGTAGTTGAGACTGATCTGGAACTACTATGTAGCCCAGGTTGGTCTCAAACTCACTGTGATCCTCTTGCCTCAGCCTCCCGAGTGCTGGGATTACAGGCGTGTACCACCATGCCCGGCTCACAAGGTCCTGAGTTTAATCCCTAGTACCAAAAAAAAGAAAGAAAGAAAAGCCCATTCAGAGAAAAAGGAGGCTCTTGGAAATTTAAAAATATGATAACAAAAATGAAAACTCTCAAGAGATAAAGTTGAAAAAATATGTATATATAAATGGATCAAAAGATAAGAGCCTGGAAAGAAAATAAAAATGAAGTCTTATTTGAGGAAGCCCAGAAAGAAGGAATGAGAGCAAAAAAATCAAATAGCAGGGAGGAAATGGAGTGGATAATACAATACAGTGTCCCAGGGCTGAAAAATATGGCCTTCAGAATGGAATGCAGGCAGAGCCCAGGATAATGATTGGAGAAGGACCCAAAAGTGATACGAAAGCAAATCATGAAATTGAAGAGCTCAGAGGAATTAAATGAAGACCCTGTAACCTTCCAGACAGAAAAACTGACAGATCACAGGGGTAAGGAATTTGGAATTGTGTCATATTTCTTTTGGGGTGGTTTAAAAATACGTCCACAAACACTTTGGCCCTCTGACTTCTCTGTGACCTCTGTGGAAGGGGTGGGCTTTTGTGGCTGCCCAAGGCAGCAGAAGCCACACAGTGAGGCCACCCAGGCTGTTAGAAAAGATCACACTGCTTTTCAGTTTCTCTGTGACACTCACTTCAGTTACTGAACCCTGAGGCAACCCTGAGGCTGCCACAGGGACAGGGAAGGTAGGGAGAGAGAGAGCTAGACAGACAAAGCTGGGGGCAGCCAGGTAAGGAAAAAGCCCTCAAGGTGACCCCACTGCAGCCGTCATCTGATTGGCCATATGAGGACTGCCTAGTTGAGCTGAGATTCATACCTTGAAAGATGTTGGAATTGGGGGTAGGGTGGGCAATGGAGAAGGAGAGAGAAGAGAGTGGTGAAGACACCCTTGCTTCCAGCGGCCCATGTCTGGAAGTGACACACTCCACTCTGCCCCATTTGGATGCAAGGGGCTGGGAAACAGTGTAGCTCTGTGCCTGGGAAGAAATTGTAAGAGCCTGACTGAACCAGAGCGACTCCATGTTGACCAGCAAACGACCTAGAGACTGTCGCCCCCCACATCCCTTATAGGATAACTAATGATTAATTGTGAATTGTTAGGTAACTGCTTTGAAGTAGCTAGGAAACTAAATGGAAACTGTAGTGAACACAGAGACCCAACACAAATCACGACACTCCTTACTTGCCTGTAGTTGAATGTTCTGAACATTATAATCTAAGTTGTAAATGGAATAATGTATAATTGATCTGCTGATCATTAGTATGTGACGGTCAAGTATATGCTTGATGACCACTAGCTCAGATCAACTGATTCTTTGCCTTTGTCCTCTTCCTGTAAGTTTTAAGTTAAAATGGCCTCTGTTTCTGAGCTAGCTGCCTCTTTGAGCTACCTGGATTTGTGAGTGCCATCTGGCCAGACTAATAAAGGTCTATTTGCCAACTTGCCTGGTGTGTTCCTTCCTGGGTGACTCTCGCTGTCCGACAAGCTCCTGGAGCCTCGCTGAGCTTCTGAGCCCAGCATAGTGGAAGCCTCTTGGCTGTTCACGGTCCAGGAGTAAAAGTGAGACTTAAGTCTTACATGTTGGAGGCCCCAGCGAGATCCCCAAGTGGGAACTGTAAATCCGTCCGAGATTCTCTGTCTCAGGATCCAGCAGGAGATTCTCAGACATAGACCTGAAAAGCCTCCGGAGGTAAGTTTTGAATTGGTTGCAACCATGCGATGTCAGGATAGAGGTGGCTGACGAGCCAGGAAGCCTCACCTGACCCCGGCCCTGACGAGGATTCCGGGTAGAATCTAAGTTCTTTTTCTTTTGTGTGGC